ATACCCAGCAGGAAGCAATTTCAAGAATACGACGCCCACATTCCCAAAGAGGTGGTGTGGGGCAGTTGGTTTTTTTGGTCTTTTAATGGGTTTTGGGTCTGGGATAATTTTCATTGATTAGGGGGGTTGGTTACAAGTTGTTGTCAAGGGTTAGGAAAAAGGCTAAGCAAAGGAGATTAGATTTAAGGTTCTTATTAAAAAAAAAAAAAAGAAAGAAAGAAAAGAAAAATGTAAATACTTTACATTGGATTGGATTGTTTTATATTGTATACAAATTATATATATTGAAATTGATATTGTTAGAAAATGTTATATATATTTTTCTAATTGTACCGTTCATCTAACAATGTAATGCAATTTTCTGATCCTTGAATGTTATTACCAACTATTAGGATATAAAGAAATGAAAGTTAGTAGTTAGATATTATAATAGAACTTGTAGTTATATTAGGTATGTTTTCAAGATTGAGTAGATATATTTTAGATAGACAGGTTATCTTCAAACCCTTCAGAGATCTACAGAATATGGCATTTAAAATGTTTTAATAACTTAGAAAATTTTTCTTTTTTGTTATGACTATGAGACATGTCGGCTCCTGGCAGTACCAATCTACTTCAGAGAAAATATGGGCATTGAAGAAACTGCATATGGAGTTAACTTTCATTGTGGCAAAAGTTAGCCACTGAACAACAAAGTATCCTCGAATCAACAGGACAAAATGGACAAACAGGACATAAAACAAAGGATTACTGATTCTTGCCAAAACAAGTGTGGTTATGGCTTTATCAAAAGGCATCTTCAGAGGCCAGGACAATATGGCACCATCCCTGAAGTGGCCTTCGTAATTCGAAAAAGGTACAGTGCCCTTTTCTTCGAAGGCAGCTGAACAGGCAGTGGGCCGATGGCCTCTGATGTGCAATGGAACAGCAGCTGAAACAGTTATTCTTGAAGAGTAACTAAGCTCACACCTCTCAATAGTAGACTGGCATTTGATGGAGGGATATGGAGAAGAATGGGATGCTGAGATGAAGCCATATATACATAGCCAGGAAGAATGGACAGCTGAGTTGGAAAACCATCAGCAATTTCCAGAATTTGAAATCCTGAATCATGACATGACACTGGTGGAATTCAGGTGTTTCTGGTACATGGACTACTCTCACTCAATGTGAGGTTGAACTGTTGACCTTGTGTTCATCCTGCTTCACAAATGAGTCTGTCAGATATGCTAAGCCTATAGGCTGAAGATGATGCCCCAGCACTTCGGAGAAACCTCAGGTGACTGTCCAGACAGCTGTCTGTTTCTGTCAACTCACAAATTTTTTGGAGGTTGCTTATGTGCACTTCCTGTTTTTATTTTTGTTAGCTAATATTATTTCCTTCTTGGGTCTCTGAGGGAGTTGAAGATTAGTTAGTTATAGTTGAAGGTTAGTTAGTTATAGTTGAAGATTAATTAGGATACATTTTGGACTTACCAAAATAGGATAGATAATGAAATTATTTTCTCTGAATTTGTCAAATACAAATGGACTAGACATTGTTTAGGTATTTATTACTTGTATATATTGTATATAGTTATTGTCCTTTTGTATATAGTTTTTCTTATATTAGTTATAAGCTTTTTCTTTTTTTTCCTTTTTATTAAAATAGAAAAGGGGAAATATGGTGATATTTTATTTGTATTAAAATGTTATTTGTATGTTAATAAATAAAGTTGCCCGGGGGTCAGAGCTATTAGCAAGCCATAGGAAAGCAGGGCAGTGGTAGCGTACGCTTGTAATTCCAGCACTTAGTAGGCAGAGCTGGGTAAGTCTTTGTGTGTTCAGGGATACAGCCATTATTGGATACACATGCCTTTAATCTTAATACCAATCATGGAAAACCTGGAGGCCTATACAGACAGGCTGTGAGGAGGCGGTCATGTGGTTGGGTTTACAACCAATGAGAAGGCAGGACAGGAACTCTATATAAAGACTTTAACACAGGGGTAGCTCTGGTTCGGAGAGGTAGGACCACTGCAGGAGGAAGGGTAAGGTTTTGGCTCTTGGCTCTGACCTCTTGGCTTTCTTCTTTGCATTGGTTCTGTGTTTATTGTTTGATGGGAAGGTTGGATACATCTACACCAGACCCTTATAAATTAGTTTTTCTTATCCATTCTAAAAGCCATTTTTTCTTATTCAATCTATAGAACTTATCTATATAGACTTTACAAGACTTTACTTTATCCTTGTAGTCACCTATGATCTGTATTTAGGTTACTTTGTTCCTCAAAATATGCTTTGTTGTGAATACAGGGTTGAGTTAATTATCACCAGAAGAATTTTCATCTAATTGTACTTGTGCATAAATGTGTCTAAAATAAAGATCTAGAGGTCACACTCCCGACATTTGAACCAACACTTGCTACTGAATTTGGTTGGGCAGAACCACCTTCCTGCTTCCCCTGCCTAGTTATTTTACTGTCCATGAAGGTCACAAACACCCCTGCAGGGAAGCAGTAGGGTACCAACACAGAGAATTCAGGATATGTATGACTTCATGAAGGAAACTGGGAAGAACACTGTGGCACTAATTATGGAGGGACATAACTATGGAAGTTGAAAAGTGTCCTTGGACTCAGTGACAGAAATTTTAACTCCAAAGCTGAAAATGATTCGAACCCCTGTTTCTTAGGATTATTTCCTTCTTTTGTTGTCAACATGCCACAAACAAGAAAACAACAAATTGAGACAGACTTTTCAACTCAAAACATACCATTGCACTTGAAAAGTATCACTGACCAAAGTGTTCTAATGCAAAAGCAGAAAATGTAGCCTAGGCTCTCCTTGAATTTGCTATGAAGCAGTGGATTACTTTGAACTCTGGGGTTTCCTCATTGCTTGAAATGTAGAGATGACAGGGATGTGCCTCAGAAGATGCTCAATTCAAAGTACATATATAAATATTTGGGGCCTGTAGGATATATGTGAGCATGGTGCTGTATTGTCTCTACATCGTAAGGAAGGTGTTTTGTTGTACAAGACAGTGTGCTTTTCCCACCTCACAGAATGTTACTATTTTCCCTACAGATTAGAAACATTAACTAGGAAGTGTCTATTATTTTATGTATGGTTAGAAACTCATTGAGAATTCTAGTAGATAGAACAAAGTGGTTTGAAGCCCATGTTTCTCAAGAGTAGACTTCAATGTCATAAGCCAAGCTCTAGCATAAACACTTTTTTTGCCTGAAGAGGGCAATATATGCAAGAGCACAGGAGATGGGGGAGGGGCTGTGAAGGAAAATTACTGATAAAAGGATTGTCTGGCTGTGAGTGAAAAACTCTTGGAAGGAGTCTGTGTCTGCAGAGACTGATGGACCATGTGGAATTTCAGAACTGTGGAGAGACTGGAATTTTGCAGATTCAAAGAGTAGTTACCTTATCTTGGGCTACTTTTACCCTTCAGAAACAGTCATTCTTTGCAATGATCTGTAGTGGACCAAATAGCTGGTGACAATAGATAAGAAACTTTTGGAATCCACTGACTTGGCAGAACATTAGCTTCCTTCAGTCCAAAAGTCAAGAATGTCACCAGATAGTATCTTAAGTAGACTAGGTCCCCCACCTCTCAGTACCTGCCTCTCGGGGGGGACCCACCAATGTATTTTAAATTTGCCTTGATTAATAATTCTTTTTTTTCCTGTAAACCCATGAAGCTGTTTCCATGTTGGAGCATGTTATTTTGGATAACCTACATCTTTGTTCCCAGGCCATGGTCACTCAAATTGCTCCACATTGAACTATTCTTCTTTCCCTTTAAGACTAAAGCTTCAGTTTTCACATGAAGAGGAAGCTTCTATATGCAAATCAAAGGACTGTGAGTGAGCCATAGTCTTCCAAATTTATCTTTTATCTCTAGAACAGCACAAAAACTTGGATAAATCATTTTAGAACTATTCATAGAGCATCAGTGGACCTGGAAACCACATTCGGTGACAATATGTTTGAGGGAGTTTAGACACTGTTGATAAAGTGAAGAGACAGAAGAAAGTGTGTGATAAGAAGACAATGTACAGCCCACCAGATCAGCAGGGCAGTTTCTCCCCTCCCTTTCAGAAATATCAAGTCCCCTCCTGTCAATCATGAGGTACATTTCTGTCATCACACCAAATCCTCTCTCACAGGTGAAAATATCTGACACCACACAATATCAAACAGAATTGATGCAATATTACTGTCTAGTCCCTTCCACTCTGAAGTTTAAAATCTGTAAATATGTGGATTGTACAATGACGGGTTAATACCAATTACAAGATTATTATGTGGCTACACAGGGGTATTAATGTGATGGTTCAAGTCACAGGAGTGTACATCAGGGATTCCTATTCAACCAGAGGCATCCATAACAAATCATTGAACAAAAAGGGGCAGGGGGAATGATTAACATCCCATACAACAATCAACCTGGCAGGACTCTGTCTCTGGACACTAGGAACAATAGGAACCTCTGTGAGCTCAGACCAGGAGTAATAGGCCAGCCATAATGTATAGGAGGAATTAGATGTCCACATGGTCTAGAAGGACTGAGAAATGTGACTACAGCCATGCCAGCGAGAAGCACTAGGAAGAGCATGTTTCCCCAGCCAAGCAGGAAAGTGAGCTCTCATGAGTTCCTGAGACAGCAGCAGTGACATACCCATAGCCCTTGCAACCCTGTTCTTTCCAATCTTTTCAATTCCCTGACTACTGAGCCAGCCCTCCAGTCCCAGAAGCACAGGTGGACACGGGCAGCAGGGCGTCCTAAGAGACTGGACACTCACAGCATATGGCTTTGGCATGACGCCCTCTCCCCTGACAAACCTGAACCCAGGTGCAGTGGTCCAGCCTAGGTCAGCACAGCACCTCCAGGTCAGCTTCTCCCGCCACCCAACCAGCCCAAGTCAGCTCCCTCCCTCCGCGCTGGACTCGCCACCGTGCACAGTCCCTCAGATCTGCAGGACGGCGCTGCACCCTGCACCAACCTCCATGTCAGAGATGCAAGCCCAGTGCTGAGCAGGACACTCGCCTAACTTTAGGGAGAAGCTAAGTTTGAAGACTGATGCGGAAGTTCGGTATCCAAAGACCCTTCTTGTGACGTCATCGTGGTCGGAACTACATTTCCCACAAGTCAGAGCGAAGGACTTCCGGGAACACGCGGAAAGTGGTTTGTGCAGAGCCTGGTTCTTGTCCAGCTGTGTTCAGGTGAAGTTGGAAGGAAATAGACTTGAGCACAGGGACAGCCACAGGGAATTCTGGCTGTTGCAGTCCTGAGATCCCAGCACCCCGTGTTAGCCTGTGAGCCGAGCCGTTCACAGCAATGTTTTTTATCACGTTTTCTTGTTATTTCTGCTAAAAGTTGTGATTTTAAAGCTCAGTTCTACTTATTGTGGGATCTTAACTATGGCATGAAAACTCAGATTTATATGTTTTACTTAAAAATAAAGAAGCAGGAAGCTAATGTAGGACTGAGCATCATCTCCTCAAGATGCTTTTTGAAACCATCCTTAGTGACCTTTCCTGTCATCCGGAGTCTCAGGTGCTTAAGATAGAAGAACAGAAAACAAGGCTAACAAGGACAATTTATAGATACTTTATATCTAAACACAATGTAGAGAACAGACAAGGGGGCTAGCTTAGGGTAAAGCACTTAACTATAATGAAGGTAGCTTTGGTTTAATACCAGTTAATACAAAGAGATAATCCTTGTTCAATACCCAGTAATAAAAATAATAATCCAGCTGGGTGATGGTGGCTCACGCCTTTAATCCCAGCAACTCGAGAGGCAGAGGCAGGCAGATCTCTATGAGTTCGAGGCCAGGCTAGGCTACAGAGTGAGTTCCAGGAAAGGCTCTAAAGCTACACAGAGAAATCCTGTCTCAAAACAAAATAATAATAATAATAATAATAATAATAATAATAATAATAATAATAATAATAATCCTTGTTCTCTTGTGCTGACACACAGTGTGAGTCATACATGATCAGACTCCACAGCTGGAATAGGGTTCAGATGAATGCTGGAATCCATACAGTGAAGAACATGGGTCAGGACCACAGAGATGTTTAAAATCACTGAACACAGTGAAATCTACAGATCTCTGGTTTACATGCAGTGGACTCCCAGAATCCATCTGAACGTCTTTCTGTAAATTCCTTTCCCACACTTTCAACAATTTATCTGTGTAATGAATTCAGTTTTTGTATCCATTCTACCACATCTACTGCACCTACTTCTCCCTGGCTTTTCATAAACTCAGGAGTGTTATCACCATCAGGTGACTTTACACCTCTTTTGTGAGTTTCTTTTCTGAATTTGTTAACAAGGAAAACTATAACTAGGTAGTCTTTAACTCCATCAGAGACATGAGAAGGATATAAAATTACCTGAGTAATTTTACTGAGACAGGAAGTGCAGAGCAAACAACTTCCAAAGTTAAGAAATGACAGAAGCAGCTAGCTGTCTGGACAAGCACCCAAGGTTCCTCTGTAACATTTGGGCATCCATCTTCGGCCTCCAGGCATAGAATATCTCACAGACTTTTCTGTGAAGCAGGATTTTTGAAGGACTGTCCTACCTTGTCTCGGCAGTCACTTTCTTTCGTGACATGCTTGTACAATTTGGACATCATACTGTCAACAGTCGAGGCAAGGGCACTCTCTTGCCCAGTGGCTAACTTTTGCCACAAAGAAAGAAAACTCCATATGGAGTTTCTTAGATGTCCATCATCTTCTCTGAAGTAGATTGGTGCTGCCAGGATCAGACATGTCTCATTGTCATAAAAAAGAAACATGTTATTAAAACATCTTCAATCCCATATTTGTAAGTCTCTGAAGTGTTTGGTAGAAATCTCTATCTAAAATATATCTCTTTGTCCTTGAAAACATACCTAACATTACAACAAGTTAGTTTGTAATGGGTGACTAACTACTAATCTGCATTTCTTTATTATCCTAAATAGTTTGTAATAATAAATTTCAAGTACTACAAATTTACATTACATTGTTAAATTAGCTGTATAGATACAATACCTTGAACAAGAGTAGAAACATATATACAGTATGTTCTAGCAAAAATAACCTTAAATTTGAATCAATATACAAAAACATCTTAAACAATAGTAGAAACATATATACAGTACAACAAAAATAACCTCAAATTTGTATCAATATTAAAAAATCCATATCAGTGTAAAATATTTGACTAGTAGTTGATTTTTTGGTTTAAAAGTAGATTAAATAATCTCCCCTTTCTCTTTTTTGAATGAGATCCCTAAATCTAATCTCCTTTGTTCAACTTTTCCCCTGATTATTACCAATAACAACTTGTAACAAACACCCCCAAATGATGACAAATGTCCACTTAATGTCCAAACCCACCTACCCAACTCTTGGGAATGTGGGTGTTGTGTTTTTAAAATTACTTCTTGCTGTCTGGGGACAATGGCATCTTTAGGGGACCCTGAAGAAAACTGGAATAGTTGTCAAGTCCTGGGAGAGCTAGCTGTGTCATTTGTTGTCAAGTCTCTGTACAATGGGAAAGGGCACGGCTTTTCTCAAGTCCTGGCAGGAGCTGTCTGTGAGGCTGGACCATGATGTTTAAATGGAACAATATTTTATCAATATTTAAATATACATACAAAGCAATTGGTTAAATACCTGACAATACCCATGGGAAAAAAATCCCTTCACCAGTGATAAGCATTCATTCACAACTCTTTGCGTTCTTTGTTTTCTTTAGTGGAGTTGTGTGTTTAACTCAAGTGTAGGAGGAACTACAATATTGCAAGTACAAACAGAACATGGATGATCTAAGAGGGAGCCTCATTCAGCAGGATATTAGGGATCCAGGCATACATATGAAACATTCTACCCAGAGTCAGATCTCAGGCCTAACATGTTTGTTTAGACCATGTTGGCAACTTTATTATCTCTAGTAACATTTTTCGTATAACATCTTGATTATCTAATTGCCTCCCATTGAAACATTCTGCATTAGGTGTGATTTTTGGCAAAATCGTTTTAAATTCTATGCTTACAGGCTGAAGATTTTTAATTTAGTTAAAAATTTAATTAAAATTTTAATTGAAAGATTTTTAAATTAGGCATGGTGGTGTATGCCTTTAATCCCAGCTCTCAGTTGGAGGCCAGTCTGTTCCACAGACCAAGTTCCAGGAAAGCCAGGGCTATACAGAGAAACCTTATCTGGAAAACATAATTTTAAAATCTCAGGTTTGAACTTGAGAAAAGGAATCGCTGTTTGGAGGTAATATTGTTTTCTTACTATTTAAATACACAAACAAAAACAAATGGTTAACTACCTGCCAAATGCTATTTACAAAAATATATCCTTTCATCAGCGATAAGCAAAAATCAAGTGAAAGACACCTTGCTAGTGCTGTTCTGAAGACCCTATACTATCCACTTGTGCGTATGAGCAGCGTTTTCTCCTTGCCTTGCGAACACGTATCTTTTGGCTATCCACCTTCCTCTGTGGTTAATCTTCTCCTGCTTTGAACTGGTCTACCTATGCATCTCATGAAGCTATCCATGAGCCCCTGCCAACAACAGAATTACATAGGTATCCACAAACATGGGGTCCTGTGTGCATTCCAGTTAAAAGAAATGGGATAATGATTGGGAATCAGAACATCCATGTCAATGTTATGGGTTAACAAATGCCAGGAACAGATACATTCTGTTGTAATCACGTTTATATTTCTTTTAAAATACAAGTACCCTGGAGCTTATATATTTGGGCAAAGACATGTTCCTTTTTACCTCATGACTCTCTGGTAGTTGGCTTCTCTGTTGTTGTTATAGATTATGCTTCCCAAATGTAATGTTGGGGCAGAAAGGGTTTATGTGACTTACATACAGGTCATAGACCATCATTAAAAGAAACCAGGGCAGGAGCTCAAGCATTAAACTGGAGACAGGAACAGAAGCAGAAACCATGGAAGAATGTGCTTTCAGGCTTGCCCCACCACCAATGGCTACCTTGGTTTCCTTGTTATACAATCAAAGAGTAGTTTGCCAGGGACGGAAATGCCAACAGTGACCTGAGGCCTTTGAAAGCAATCATTAATCAAGGAATTAACTCACAGACTCATCTACAGTCCAATCTAATAGAGGTTCATTCCTTCGTCAAGGTTCCATCTACCCACATTACCACAGCTTCTGTCAAGTCAACAAATATTTGCTAGCACACTCCCAACTTGACAATCCATGCTATTAATTTTCAGATGCTGGAGAAGAAAAGATATACCTGTGTGGGGAAGAACCACTGGCAGACTTGCACCTTAACTGAACAAAGTTATAAATCAGTTCTTTATGCTTGTGCTGATGCTGCATTATTTTCTTCATCTGCCCACCTTGCTGCCATGATTTTGGATGGTGATTACCAATATGGCAAATTGAAAAATGCTAGGTAATGTTGAATCAATGTGATGAGGTGTCTCAAGTTTCTGCCGCCGTGGATTCACCTCCATGAGGTTCTATACCTTAACAATGTCTGTCATCTAAATAACAATTTCTTTTCCTGTTTTAGTTAGGTTTACTATTTCTGTTATGAAACAATGTGACTAAATCCACATGGGGAGGAAACTATTTGGCTTATGCTTCCACATCACAGTTTATCATTAAAGGAGCCAAGACAGGAACTCAAAGAGGGCAAGGACACAGAGGCAGGGGCTGATGCAGATGTCGCTGTTTTCTGGCTTGCTGTTCATGGATTGCTCATCTTGCTTTTTTATACACCGCAGGAACACCAGCCCAGGAATAGCCCCACCCACAATGGGTTGGCCCTTCCCCATCAATTACTAATTAAGATAATTTCCTACAGCTTTTGTTCTCAATCCTTTTAATGCTTTGACCCTTTAATAAAGTTCCTTATGTTATGGTGGCCCCCAACCATAAAATTATTTTAGTTGGTAACTGTAATTTTGCTACTCTTATGAACTGTAATGTAAATATCTGATATGCAGATGGTCTCAGGTGACACCTGTGAAAGGGTTACTTTACCTCCCCAAAGGGTCATGACCCCCAGGTTGAGAACCTTTGTCCTAAGGCTTGCCTAAATCCTGACCTTATGGATGCATATTTTTAATTGAGACGCCCTCCTCTCAAATGACTTTAGCATATCTTGAGCTGATTTAAAGCTATCCAGCACAGTTATGAAGGTTCTCTTTGCAGTTGTTTTATCACACCAACAAATAAGTATTACTGCATCTACTCCTTTTTTTTTTTTTAAATGCAGGAACACATCTGATTCAACTGTTATAGAATGAGTCGGGAATATAAAGTCACACATTTTTGTATGAAGTGGTTCAATAGTAAGAAAATTAAAGACCATATGAAAAAGTTAATTTAACAGGACAAAAAGGGAATTGTCCCTCAAATAGAAAGTAAATTTAACATAAAAGTGACTCACTGTCCAACATTAACATAGCCAGACTCAAAGAAGCAATCTAGCAGATGCAGAAAAGGCATTTATTTGCTCAACATCCTGCTATGATGAAAACTCTCAAGAAAATAGTGTAGAAGGGAAATACAGTAAGAAAAAATGGCCAGTTATACATTAAACAACAAAAACAATATGGAAACAAATTTTTAAAAGATAAAACAAATCGGAAACTTTAGCTAATATCACCATGAACATAAAAAGCTGCAATCTTTCCCTCTCAGATCCAACACGAGGATGCCCAGTCTCATCATTACTTTTCTACAAAGCACTGAAGCAAGACCTAGAATTTCCATGAAATACATAGAAATAGAATGCACCCAAATCCAGAGAGAAGCAACATTCTTCACCTTGTCACATGATACTTTTCTATATGCAGTGAACACCAGTATTTACAAATAATTAATGAACTCAGAAATTTCAGGATATGAAAACCTACATTTAAAAATAAGTTATGTTTCTTTTTAGAACAACAAGTCTCACGAAGAGATCAAGGGGACATTCCCAAATAAGAAAGCACCAAGAAGAATCCATTAAAATAAATTAGATTTCCTATGTTACAAACTTTATCATTTTCATAGGCTCTCCTGAATCCTCATCAGGGAATGGAGGAAATAAAAGATTAGTTTAATTATCAAATTCTTCATCCCATGCTTTAGGATTTGTTCTGGGATGTCTTTCTGTATGCTATGAATATGTTTTATTACCATTGGTTAGTAAAGAAGGTGCTTTGGCCTATAGCAAGGTAGGATAGAGTCAGGTGGGAAATCCAAGCAGAGATACAGGGAGAAAAATGGCAGAGCAGTCAAAAGCAGACACCAGCCAGCTACCTGAGGTACAAGATGTATCAGAACATAGTTAAAGCCATGAGACATGTGACAAAACATAGATTAATAGAAATGGGTTAATTTAAATTGTAAGAGCTAGTTAATAATAAGCCTGAGCAATAGGCCAAACAGTTTGTAATTAATATTAAGCCTCTGAGTGATTATTTTTAATGTGGCTGTGGGACCAGGCAGGACAGAAAAGCCTCCATTTACAAATGGCACCCAACATGGGGTACATACTTTACATAAAGTCTGAAAAAAAATTTTAAAGGGCTTCTAGACACACAAAAACAAACCAAGAGCAGTTTTATAGTTCATATCTCTCATTACAGGCTGTGGTACT